ATGCTGGGACCAGCGAAGACATGAGTAGCAGACGTGTAAATGTATCTGCTAAGAGGAGCACCTGGGTGGCTGAGTCCGCACCTGGTATCCTTAACGGGGACAGAACCCATATCCCTGTAACGTGTTACATGTTGCTGTCAGCATTGCACTTCGCAGACCGCAGCATATGCCATTCCTTGTGTCTGGCACGACGACGACGCAAAAGGACGGGACCCTAATCCCTCAACATTCCTTGGGCGTGGAATGAGGGACCGAAACCTATCCCATTTTGGGCCAGAAACCTAGCCCATGACGACGACTCTGCAAGTAGTTCAAGGTTCGCCGCATCATTTCTTGCCAAGCCTGAGTGTGTCTGTTCTGGCATACCCGACATGGGGCCAGATCACAGCCGGCAACGCCGGAGCGCGCGCTAGCGGATGGGGGACTTTGACGAGCAAACTTCTACGTCATTGTGTCGATCATCATCATGTGTTTTAAGATCATTTGCCGAAGCTTTCCGATGCCTTCATTTTGATCATTCCGGGACTGGCGCAAGGGTCGACGTCTGATGCGAGAGCAACGTTCTGCAGGCTTATTTCGGAAAGGGTCCAGGTATCTCGACGCAGGGTGGCTTCAGGCAGCGAGGGTTTGCAAGTGATTGTGCCAATGGTTGAGTGAGCATTGCCAGTGCTTGTGCGAAGGGTTGAGGGCTATTTCCAAGGTTGCCGAATGTTGCCGACCAGTTCCTTACACTCCTTTGTTTAGGATGCACGGCCTCCGCTTGGGCCAGTCAAGCATCTTTTGCTGCAGCCCGGTCAATCCCGGGCATGAGCGTGTGTGGGTGTGTAAACGCCTGGACATGGCGTTAAGTAGGCGCAGGGGGTCCCAGGTCTGTTACTCATGCTGGGACCAGTGAAGACATGAGTAGCAGACGTGTAAATGTATCTGCTAAGAGGAGCACCTGGGTGGCTGAGCCCGCAGCTGGTATCCTTAACAGGGACAGAACCCATATCCCTGTAACGTGTTACCTGTTGCTGTCAGCATTGCACTTCGCAGACCGCAGCATATGCCATTCTCTGTGTCTGGCACGACGACGACGCAGAAGGACGGGACCCTAATCCCTCAACACATTCCATTCCTTGGGCCTGGAATGAGGGACCGAAACCTTTCCCATTTTGGGCCAGAAACCTAGCCCATGACGACGACTCTTCGCATTAGTTCTTGCCAAGCCTGAGTATGTGTATGCGCACCGCCATGGATGCCTAACTGGGCTAGTCTGGCTTTTGGTGATGTGTGCAGTGGAACATGCAAATCCGATACATCACCAGTCGATCTGAGATCATGAAGCAACCATATGCCATAATGCATCGCTGGACGTGTGGCGCAACTTCAGGCTTGGTCAATGTCCTGCAGCTGAGTCCCGCACTCATACTCCTCAAAGTTGAAAGTGCGGACCTGAAGATGGCGAAAGGATGCGATTTCAGCTTGCAGTGCGTGAAATGTGATGAACAACTACCTGGCCATGAGAGCAAAACTTCGTGCACAGCACTGTAGAGCCACATGTAGCAATGAGTACCGCTGCAAGATGCTGCAACAGTGCATCTCAGGCTCTTGCGCTCAGATTCACGTCCACCCAGCGTTTGTGGAAGAATCTCAGTTGGGCAAAACTTCACAAGACTCGGACAAACTGTGTTTGGACCTCGAACCTAACATTAAAGCAGCCCCAAGAACTCAACCGACTCAAGCCTGCGCGTGGGCCTACCATGCCTGCCCACAGAGCAAGTGTCTTCCCGACGTCCGGTGCAGCCGGGTATCGTCATTTAAGCGTCCCCATCCCTGCACAATTATCCGAGTCGTCAGTCTTATCGTTCTGGCATTTCTTCTCCATAGTCGCCAAAACTCATTCCCGCGGCTCTTGTGCCATGCATATCGAAGACCACGTTCGGCCAGCGCTCAAGCGTGAGTGCCCCGACTGTGTGATTCGAATTTGCTTGACTTAATGATCGTCTACACCTTCCCGAACCGATGACAGTAGAGTCTCCGACATCTTGTCAAGACCATCACAATCGTTGACGCCAACCCGTCCTGCACATCTGCCAGACCGCAAGTTTGGCTCCTCCCCCATGGAGTCCAAGCGGCTCAATCCACGTGCAGTCCATTCGCCTACCCGTGGCCTGGACACGTCTCTCGGCATGGACGAAGTATCGGGAATAGTTGTTGAATTCTTCGAGTCAAAATGCTTCAACTTGCGATCACTTAGTAGAGAGATCCAAGCCCAGGCATGAAACGGGCTCTGAAGCGTGACACTCAGAGTAGGCCCGATCCAAGGACTGTCATCTCCTGCACGGTCCATCTCTTTCTACTTCTGTATGGTGTTGGCTCAAGGCTTAAGCTGCCGCACATCTCTGCTTAACCCTCTTCTAAAACGACTCCGCGGATCTGGAACCTTCTGGCAGGCGATGCCCGGCTGCTCGCCTGAGAAGCGCCGCCACAGAAGCTTAGGAACTCACTCTGCGCTCACTGTGCTGTGCCTTGCTTGACGGCTTCCACCAAGTCCACGTTGCCTGAACACGCAAAGCGCATGGAACCGGCTGGAAGGAAATTTCTTCAGGCTGCCTCGAAGGGCTGTTGGAGAGATTGCCCATCCTGGCATGCTTCCACGGCGAGCAGGAGCCAACATACAAGTCTGGCTGTTGGATTACGTTGCACACCCTGTCACAGCTCCAGAACCCAGCTGCGACTTGTCCATATTACTTCGAACCGTATTTGCCGTTGAAAGTGCTGACCAAGACACGTTCCGTATTGTTCTTGTACAGGAACATTTTATCACCTCAGAGGTGAGGGTTGTCGCTGGGCAGCCTTATGACTTTACGAGCATGCAACAATGAAAAAGGCATGCTCGAAAACGCGTTGGTTGGCCTGGTGTCTGGAAGAAAGTGGGATGGTCCGCAATCACGACAGTTTCACCTCGGCTGAAGGTGGCCGACGCTGTGCCAACTCTCTACACCTTGCAGGATGCGCGTGGGCCTGACACCAAACAGCCCGAAGTGCCCCTAGGCACCAGACGTCTTCTGTACAGGCCATCCTCACACGGATCTGGGAAAGTCTATTTCAGGTAGGTGTGAGCCAGCCACGGCCCACAAACGACTCGCATTCACATCAATCACCCGCTTGCACACCGAAGACGGGTTGCGTCCGAGCACATCGCACAATAATCCACATCACCCCACGTAAAGAGCAAACCTGAAGCCAACCTCCGACCCAACCCTACTCACCCAGGGACCATAGCTGTCTGGTGGAACCCGTCGAGCTTGACGGCCACGGTGTGGAGGCCAATCTTGCAGGACTTAGACGAAGTCTTCTGAGGCTCTCGCTTCTTGCGACAGGAAGGCTATCCAGCTGCCGTGCTGCACGGGCTGACTGAGACTAGTATGGCAGTGTGCACCGAACGGTGTCAGGGTGGACCTCAACCCTACCTCCCTATTCCACCGAAGCCCGGGACCGAATTCAATGCATTCCAACTCGGGCCTCTGTAATCGATGCTGGCCTGGTGATCTGCGGACCCTGCGGGCCCGAAGCTGAGAAGAGCACACTTCCCCCACCCAATAAGACTCCCATAAGCACGTCATGAACGCTGCCAGATGTCTGCATGCGGTACAGTATATGCTACGAATACCTGAGATTGGATTTACCATGCACTGCATCATATGGCGTGAGCGTCAAGCATACTTGGGGCCCAAACTCTACACTCACAGATTTCATTCAATAAACTGCTGAGGCGGCTTGAAGCCAGTGCCATGAGCACAAGGAAAGCCCTCCGGCCTGTGACACCAGTGACAGAGAGCCGATCTGAGACAGAAAGCATTAAACAGTGGAATGCAGCCGGATCACTTCGGAGTGGCGGCGCCGAAGAGCGCTCTTTCGAGGAGTCCCATCTCCAGTGTTGCTGGTCCTGCTGCCGGAGAGCTAAACAAAAGCACACACTTCCACAGTGGGAGCAAAGATGGGACTCTCGATACCCGCATTATCTAGACTTCAAGGGGCCACATCACATGGCGTCCTTTGTCGTTTGATGGTGCGTCGTTGAGCCTCTCGCTGGGAGAAGCTGTTCACCTGGAGCTGCGAAGATGCGCGAAGCTCTGAAGAAATTGGCAGAGTGTTTCCTTCCACCCTGGAGCTGCCTTGGGACTGCTGTCTAGGCCACGACGCCGGGGGCTCCTCCCACGCGGCACTTGCAAGGCTTGCGTCAACTTGTCCCTTCGGGGCTCCGGGGATTGGGATGCTGTGATGGCTTCTGGTCGATACAACTGTCACACTACAAGGAGCCAGCACGTTACTGTGCTTTGGTGTCAGCTGGCGCATTACAAGAATCTGAAAAACATCCACTGTCTATAAGTTTGCATCGGTGGTGCCCCACCCATGTTAGCAGAAAGACGTAGCATGCACCCTTCGGTCTGACAGCTGAATACAGCTGAGAGAGACATCCTTGAAAGAGCGGCCTGCAACAAGCCATACGACGCGCAATTTCTGCTCAGAACTTGAAGCCCCCGTCTGCGACGGAATCAATTCGTTCTGGGGCATCAGAAACTCATTCTCCCAGCCTGAGGTTAGCTCTTCAGATTCTGGTTCGGTCATTTCTTGGCAAACCTTGCAATGGAACGAGCACCCGAGCAGAACCTCAGGCAGGACTGCCACACAGTGGACAGGAATCTGATGTGGCCAGTATCAAAGCCCTCTTCCAGTTCTGGCAACAAAGACTTGGACGCTAGCTGCGGCATCGTTCCTTTTGGGAACTGCCGCGTGCTGCATAAATGAAAATAACCACATGTAGCTAGCTGTGCATCAGGCAATTAGCACAAGCAACTTCACAGGGATTGATCACGCCAGCATCCGGATTCAAGATGCAGCCTGCAACCGTTCAGAGCCCACTGGCAGAAGCTGCATTCCGTATCGATACCCAGTCTAGAACAGATGCAGCACGCTCTTGCCAAACTTGTTGTAAAGCCGAGCCTGCAGGGCCTTTATGCTTCTTTCGCATCCTCAAACCTCGAAACAGGCTCTGGAAAGGCAAGCATGGTTGCTATTTTCAAGCTTCAAGATCCATTCTGCTGCGTTGTAGCAAAGGCTCTGTGGCACGACAGAATCATAGAGGATTCCGCATGTGCCACACACCTTACTGCAGGGCAGACTCGGTTCTGGTATGGCCGATGAAGCCCCAAGCTCACATTTACAGCAGAGTCAAGCGCTTCACCTTGCAAAAACTTGGCACATGAGAAGGTTCTGGCCTGGTAACGACACCTTCACCAGTGAAGCTTCCTTTGGAATCCAGATCGAAAGTCCCGTTTTGGCCGAGATGCAGTGACCTCCTTCGGGCCCCCTTTGCAAGCGATTCCTGCAGGGCGTGATGTTACCGGATGCCTCGAGCCATCTCTAGCCTTCTAGCTGCACCGGAAGCATTGTTAATCATTGAGACATGAACAAATGCAGAATCCCACGGCCGAGGCTCTGGCCTTTGTCCGGCTCCGTGTCAATACCACAGTGCTGGTCCTCACTGTCACGCCGCAGGAGGCGGATGTAGCCTCGTCCGCAAAAGACGAATTACCCCGCCGAAGCTCGCGGGCAATTCACTTTCAACAGGGTGTGTTGGCACAGAACCGATGACGCCCCAAGCACAGCGGTGTCTGCGGCTTTTGCGTCTGGCCCACTGTGTTTGGGAAACTGCAGCGAGCAACCGTTCTCGCCCCAGTCCGAACCCCAGGAGTTCTTCACGAGCCAAAACCGATGGCTGTCACTCCTGCGCAAGCAATGCATGCCTCTGGCTCAAAACTTCATCCAAAATCCCTGGACAGCCTTCCGTATCCGTAGAGCGCAACAGCCTCAGCTCGCAAGCAAGGCAGAACGAGAGCTGTGCTAAGTCTGTTTCGTGTCGCGGATGAAGCTCTGACAGATTCCTCCGCCAGCAGTGCGCAACTCCTTGTTTTAGGCTCCTGTCACAGCTGCCGTGTCCAACCCGTCAACGCCCATCTCGCACGAAAACTGCATGCGGCCCGGTACTTCCGCAGAGCAGCCCCGCCAAAACAACTTCCGTCTCTGAAAAAGTCCAGTTGTGTATTTTGAACCCTGGAACCGTTAAACTGTTGGACATAGAAGTACTTTCTCCTGATTTTGGGGCTTCAGAACCAGTCGTATGCTGCCCGGCGTCGTGATTCACGATGTTGTCGCACTCATCGAAGACTCCGCCTGAGGTGCTTCACTGCATCCGCGGAGTTCTGACGAAAGGACGGGAGCAGAATTCATCCGTCTTGCGAACTGCCTTCGTAGCTGAACCAGCTGCTAGCTGCCACAGAGACAGCCACAGGTCCTGAATTACTTGCAGCTGTTCATGACTCCGTTTACATGTCCCGTCAAGCTCTAGCTCTCCATTGCCCTCCCAAGCCGCTCTCGACGCTTGTCCCCATCTCCCTCATTACCTCGTTGGGCTCCGGACCCAGTTCGACAAGTGCCCTGGCCAGTGGCTCCTCACGGCAAGCTGCTATACGTCTCTCCGGTCTGCTTTTGCTTTGCTTCCGCCATGGGGTCACAAGTGAGGCGTCCTCTTTGTTGCTGGGGAGCACGCGGAACCCGGTCCTTAACTGCAGCGCATGTACTGATGCAACGTGGTCCGCACCTCGACAGGACTGATCACACACCGTGCAGCCAGCGCACAGTCCAAAGGAAGCTCCTCCAGCTGTGGCCCCACGAAGGCCCTGGCCCGTTGCCGGGACAAAGCAGAAAGCCAAAGTTCTTCAGTCTAGTCTAGACATAGAGTCTATTGCAGACACTCCTGGCTCGTACATTCGTGGCCTGTGCTTGAAGGAAGGAATTCTCGCAGGTGCCATCCTGAAGCAGTGCGGCCATGAGTCCGGAACATCAGCTCAGCCTAACTAAGGACTGCCATGACTGATGCTGACAGGTTGCAACACCGCCCCGATTCCGTTTGTCAATGCCGATGTGCCAGTCCGCTACTGTAGGCTGCGTTGTGCGTACGACCAGCTACCAACACTTCTCGTTGCCCCCCTGCGCCACGATTCTCAAGCCCACAGCTTTGCTACTGCCGACACCTGCTGCCATTCATCAATCCTCCAAGCCTGCGCGGAATATGGCACGGATGTCTCCAGGCTGAGGCCATGCCTGAACAGCAGAATGGCTACAAAAGTATTCACAAAGTCGCTGCGACAACATCCGGCAGCTCTGAGACTGAAACCCCCGATAAGACATCAGAAGCCGCTAAGATGGTTCTGGAACTTCTGCCACAGCACTGCACCGCCCAGCCAATGCCCAGCTCAACCGTGGCCCCACTGCATCCGCCCTGGGCTGACAATCCCAGGCTCATCTCCAACACAGGTTCCGTGAGATTGCTTTTCGGACACACCGTCTCTGTCTGTCCGTGTCTGTTCGCCGGGCACACCGGCCTGGCCGCCACATTCCTGCGGATTGGGCACCTCGGCAAAAGATGCTGGGTGCTTCCTGCGTCTTCGGCCGTGCTCTGGGGCTCCGAGCGCAGTTCACCAACTCCTGGCTTGAGAATCTCCTCGAGAAAACTCATCTCGGATAGCTTGAAGGTTGGAGAGGTTAGGGAGTTGACGTTAGGATAAGGACAGCCATGGCCAGCCCAATTGCATGGGTCCTTGGCCGGCCACGGTGGATCTCGCTGTGTGCATTCAGCACAGTCGTGGCACCTGGGCACGCAGTGGCATGCTACCTAGCTACCTACTGACCGCAAAATCAAAACAAGTCTGCGAAGTACCCTCGTCACCGGATCGCCCCATCATGATTCCACACCCTCGCTGAGTCCGGCTGATAGAGAACTGATGAAGAGCAAAGTTACACTGGCATCACGAGGTTGGACCACTACTCCCGACGGTCAACCGGGAGCACAACAAACTCTTGCATGGTCTGAGGTCTACGCTCACTGCTGGGATCCAATGTCAATGCTTTGACAGGCCACGAAGCAAGCGGTCTACCTATGATCGGGGCACTTCGAGAGACTGATCGAGACGGAGCGTCTTTCGTCGTTGATCTCCATGACCGAGAATCTGAAGCACTGAGTTAGTTTCTTTCCTTGCGTTTCCGGAGCCGAATCCCACGTAAAGTCCTTCATCTGTACACGACGTGCTTTGTCGTCCCTGTTCCGCTCGCTTCATTTGCCCGGCCCACTACTTCCTTGCAATCTTGCACTCTCTACGTCAGCAATCGCTGCCACACAGGGTGAAGTCCGACTCTGGTCTTTGTCGCTCGCAAGGATGAACCTGCTGGTTGCCGCCTGGTGATGCATCGCCAATCTAGGGCCTACGACAGCGTCAATCTCTGAGATCTCGTTGTTGCCCCTCGGCATACAGGGCCTGGTAGCTAGGGTGCGTTTTGCACGACATGTTGGAGGCGGAGGGGCGACCTGCATGGTAAAGACATTCCCGTCCTGAAGGGCAGCAAAGCGTCTTTCAGATCGGGCTCTTCCGACGGTTTAACTTCGACTGTACCTTGTCTGTTGCTGAGATGTGCAACCTGAGCAGAATGCACGCCTTTCAGTCCCAGAGGGCAGGTTCATCTCGGCTGGTTCGGCCATTCAACGAGTGGGAAGATCGACGCGAGCAGCTGGTCAAAGCAGTGCGGCTCTTGTGCTGGAGACAAAACGACTGCACAAATGTCAGAAAGCCGTTGCACTCACAAAGAAGCGAGTTGTCTGAGACCATACTCCTCAAGGGATTGGTCAAGAAGAGTGCATGCAACTGAATGCACTTCAGGATCGAGGGTCGCAGACGCCTCGTTCTGGCGACAGCTAAACGACGTGGAGGGGAGCCTGTAGCTGCGAACAGCAATGTGAGCTTCAGCTTGCAACTGGACCCTGCCCAGCCAACCTACAAGTTGCAAAAAACAACGAGAAACTCAGGACACGTACAGGGCTGCAAAACCAGCCCATCGGGACATCAAGAACACTTCCAGAGTGATCAGTGGTTGTGATCACGAAAGCTCAAAACCACCCACCCTTCGGACAGTTGGAGAACCAACAAGTCTGGCTGCGGAACTGCTTTTGCCACAAAGACGAAAGACGGTTTCGGAAGGATCAATACGCAAGCGAAGGAGTTCTCTCAACCACCAACAGTTTTTTTGTCTGAAGGCCTACAGCAACAGTTGTCTTTTGCAGGGCCTAGGGGCCCTTGTGCGGGCTTCACGCCCTCTGTTGGAGGTTTGCGCGGACTCGGGCAGTGTGGCGTATTTTCGCTCCTCTGTAAGGCTCACATGGGCCAGACTACGTCCCGCTCAGAACAAAACGAGGTATGGTTCTGGTGGGCACTCCGGCACTGCTCGACTCTACATCGTGGTCGCCTTCACGAGTGATACATGGTAGCCATACTGAGGTGGAGGTAGCCTTAATGTGAACTGAAGGGTTGAAGGGAGCAGGCAGCGAATGCATGCAAGCAAAACGAATCCACACTCACGGAAGGTTCCTGTGCGGGTAGCCCCGATTGCCCTGGCCGTGTGAAGAGAGATGGTGTAATGCATCAGACCCATTTTCAATTGCTTCAACTTTCCGTGCTGTCCGGTATGAGCTGGACACTCGACAGGGAACGAGCCCCGATATTGCAAAACATCGAAAGTTCGAACCAAGAAACACTCCGAAGCACGCGATCTCACGATGACTATGTGGCTTGCCCCTGTGCTTCCCACCACCTGTGTTTCAAAGGTTGGATTTCCCGCAACACAAAGACAGAGTTCTCTCGGGCAAACTGGTCGCGCTGGACGGCGTCTGTCTCAGGCGACGACTTTTCATTTACATGTCCTGCTGAGAGGCGCAAGCCATCACAGATTTCCAACGGCTTCTTAACTTGCCCTGAGCTCGTGGGGTGTCCAGACAACCACAGCGACGAGAGCCGCGGCTGCGAGGCCGAGGGGATACCATGCAGCCAAGCGACTGATGGCCCAGCAAGAGCCACAACCCCCCTGCTCGACAATATTCTGGCCGTCGCTCAGATGGCGCCAATCCACCTGCCGGTAAAAAGAGTGCGAGCCTTGTTGAAAAGTGAACGGAGGGATGTGCACATCAGCGCTCGTAACTTCTTGTGCCCTCTCGGTGACCTTCTCAGGTAAGGCCGACTTCAGCCTGGAGTGGTCCTCCTCCTGGCAGAAGGGGAGGTGAAACCTGTTTGAGGAAGTCCTCACAGCCCCCAAAAGCCTCGGCAGCGAAGGAGAGGCCCTGCGACTGCCGCACCTGCCAGAAGAGAGGGTCTGTCGATCAGAGCGCCTCTCTTTCTCGGGCTCTTCTGAAGATGGCATGTCAGACTCATTCAAACACTGTTTTGAGCGCACTGAGCGGTTCGAACGGAACGGTGCCGCGGCCTGCGCCGGCTTGTAGCCATGCATGACCTTCAGCTCCTCTTCCTGCGATGGGAATTCTGCATGTCTGCAGAGTGCGCATCATCAATGGGTTTACTACGAAATCGGTTGCTGGGGCCCAAGATTGGCATCTCAGGAAGTATGAGCACGCTGCAGCTTGCCTGGAGTCGTGCCCTCCTACTAAGCTAAGCGGGCCAGGCATTGCCGGATTCTAAAATGCAGCAAGGCCCCGCGGCCTTGCGATCGGAAAACTTGTTAATGGTTGCGGACCACTTTGCATCAGACCTGCATCGTCGTTCTGCGCAGACAACTCTGAGAGGGCCTTGGAAATTACTGTGACCGACAGAGGCGTTCTTCTTCCCCCAAAAAGCAGAACACGATCACCTGCAGTTATGGCCTGTTGTTTTGCAAGAGTGCGGCCACTCGGCGAGTCTCGAAGAGAGCAGCGCGCTCCTCGTACTCCTGGCTGACAGTGCTTCAGGGTATGCAGCATCGTCCTTTGTCTGCGCCGGAGAGGCATGAGATATCATGAGATCCAAGGACTGTCATCGACCCAAACCTGCTTTGACGGATCCCAAGATGCAAAGTCATGAGCTGTTCAGCACCAGCCTGAGATCCCTGGCGGTAGCTTCGGCCATGAAGGGAAATGAAATCATCGAAGGACATGGACACTCCTGGCCGAGGCTCTCAAGATCTCTCAAGCGATGTCTGCATTCGGAGCCTGAGCATCTGCATGTTCGACCAATTCGTTTCAATGGCTACTAGGGCATCTGCTGCAGGATGCTACTAGAACTAGCTGTGTTGGACCCGCTGCGACTGCGGAACGACGAGGGTAACCCGTCGAACAAATCATGATCGCGACATTGGCCGATCTGGTCAGACTGGCAGATATGCTCCTCTGCTCGTGCTGTGGACCTGCCAGCACAGCGGGGAATGCGACCACACAACTGGGTAACATCTTGACTTGACCGTCTGGAAGTTGGCTGGCGAGCCTTCGCCGCGAAGGCAGCTTGAGTGAGAATCACAATTGCAGCCAGCAGCATTCGTGGATGGGCGGCCTGTCAGGAATTACGGCACAGAGCTCAAGCTCCAATTTTGGCAAGAGGGCTCCGGTCCTGTCTTGCTGAGTCTTATGCCTTTCCAGCTAAGGTTGCT